GAATTTCCTTCCTTTTAAGGATGAACAATATGAATATACCATGCTTTGTTTATCTATTCATCCATGGATAGACATTTTGCTTCTACTTTTTGGCTCTTGTGAGTAGTGCTGCTGTGAACACAGATGTACAAACATGTTCCAGTCCCTGCTTACAGTTCTTCCGGGTATATATCTAAAGCGGAATTGCTGGATCATATGGTAATTATATGTTTAATTTTTTATCAAATTGTTATACCATTTTCCACAGCAGCTGCACCATTTTGCATTCCTACCAACAATACACAAGGGTTCCAATTTCTCCATGTCCTTGCCAACACTTGTTACTTTGTTTTGTTAATAAAAACATTTTTTTAATAGCAGCCATTCTAATAAATGTAAAGTGATATCTCATGGTAGTTGGTCCATTTTTTAACATCTAAGTTCAGCCTTTCTTCTGAAGTCTTCAGTATTTTCATGCTATCTCAGTTGTCTCTATTGTATTTCTGTGAGATGAGGCTCACTCTCCCTTTAAGAGATGGAGAAAAGAGTCCCTGGAACCGACCCTAGCAGGGATTGATCACAGTCCCCCTCCATTCTGCATGCACAGTGGGCTCTTGCAGTGTCTGCCCAACAGTCCTTGGGAGGATCCCCTTGGGTCAGACAGAGTGTGGGCTGTGGGAGGAAGTGGAAGGTGACTAGGTTTGAGCACTGTCCTCTGCAGTGGATCCTCTGGAGCATGAGGACAGTCCAATACTTGCTGCCTCAGGGTGAAAGCTACTTGTGGCTGCCCCTAGTGTGGCTCCTAGTGTTTGTTTTGACTGTTTTCTCTGGGTTAGATGAAAAAATTACTCCATGAATTCTGGTTCCTCATGGCAGATTCATGAGATACAGTCCAAAATCCTTTCCTATTTATGAGAAGGAACTAAAAGCAAGCTTTTGAGATTTTGAGTTTAATTTAAGGGATGCTATTAATGAATTGTCACAGGGCACATTCCCTGTGACAGACCAAGAAGGGTGCCCCCTCCTGGACAGGCCAAGAACTGTTGTTGGCTTTGTTTTGGACAGAGCAATACCATGGGTAATGAAAATAAAAATTTTAGTTAACTTACCGTGGTGCTTATTGATTTTAAGTGGTTTATGTTATTAGCTGCCCTAATCCTCATAACAACTTTATGCAGTAATGACTATTATTATCTCCACTTTACTTATGAGGAAAGTGGTCCCGGGTGAATAAGTAACTCATTCCATGTCACACCGCTGGTACATGGTGTTGGGATCTGGCTCCAGACATTGGGAGATGTGAAGAAAGGGTCAGGTTCTGATGCTTGATTTTGTAAGACATTGCTTTCCCAAAGCATTTCATAGTTTATAGTATTTATACATTTCATTTACTCTTTATAACAACTTAGTGAGGTGGACATTCATGTCATTCTCATTTTGACAGAGGTGGAAACTGAGGCCTAGAGACATCAGAGACTTTCTTAGGAAAGCTGTTGTGAAGTATTGGTGAGGATGAGGAGAAAAGGGAAACCTTGTGCACTGTGGGAGCAATGCCAATTGGTCCAGCTAGTATAGAAAACAGTATAAATGTTTATCAAAAAGTTAAAAACAAATTGTCCAGCAATTTTCTGGGTATATAAGCAAAGTAAATGAAAACAAGATATTGAAAAGATATCTGCAGTCCCATATTTATTGAAGCATTATTCACAACAGTGAATGAATAGATAAAGAATAGGTGGAACACTAACACCCACACACACTCCACAATACCATTCAGCTGTAAGAAAGAAGGAAATCTTGCCATTGGACATGGTTGGACCTTGAGGTCATTATGCCAAGGGAGGTAAATCAGACAAAGGCAAATACTGTATGTGGAATATAAAGAAGCCAAACTTATAGAAGCAGAGAGTAGAATGGTGGTTCCTGGAGGCTGGAGGTGGTGATGGAGGACTTGGGGGGGATGTGGGTTGAAGGGCCAAAGTTGCAGTTAGAACATAAGTAAGCTTTGGATATTCGATGCACAGCATAGGATTATAGTCAACAATGCTGTATTATATAATTGAAAGTTGCTAAGAGACTAGATTTTAAATGTTCTCATCACAAAACTGAAATTATAATTGTGATATGATGGAGGTGTTAACTCCAATGGTGTTAAGTCCAATGGCTTCCTGCTTGCAGCAAGTCAGTGCCCTCAGTGCTGCTGCCTGGCATCTCTGAGCTGGCCTGGTTACCCATTCATGGCAGTTAGTCTTGGTTGGTGAATACAGGAGAGTTTGCAGAAGACAGGGGAGTGGGGAGCTTAGTAGGGCCAGAGCAGTCAGCATGGGGAGGGGCTCAAAGCCCTATTGTGCAGGAAGAAAGTGGGATGGGTGGGATACTTCTTAAGGACCAAGGGGTTTGCCCTTTATCCTGTGCACAGTGGGAGCCACTGGAGGCTTTTGAGGAAGACAATGGTGGGTTTAGACCTGGGTTTTGGGAGGCTGGGTTTAGTCTCCGTTTGACCAGTGTTGCAGGGCCTCCCCAGCTGAGTTCTAAAACCTTGTCTGCCTAGTCTGCATATGACTTCATTCTGCAACCTGTCACTGAATGTTGCTGTCTCTTAGGAGCTGTAAACTCTCAAAGGTCACTGGCCCTGGTAGGACACAAGTTTCTGTGCTCATTTTGCAGCCTGGTGACTGCAAAGTCCACAATGGGGCACAAGCCTTGTCACTACACACACAGCAGACATTATTGTATCTTAGTACCTGGAACTTACAGACTAGCCAACTGGACACCGCAACCTAGGTTTTCTCTCAGGGATGGCTCCCTCCCTCTTTCTCTGACTTTTCTAGACCCAGTCAGGTGCTTCCTGCCCTGCGATAGCTTCTGGCTCCCTTGCTACATGTGAGCACTGCTGCTACTAAACTCTGACAGTACTGAATCAGTCCCTGTTTTTGTTTTGTTAGAGATATTTACGTGTCCATTTTTTCAGCTAGGCTCAAGTGCCTTGAAAAAAGGGTTTGGTCTTTGTTCTGTCTATATCTAGCATAGGTCTGGCACTGGTTAAATAATTAATCGGCCACAGTCATCCAAAATGTGTATTACCTGCTGATCGACACATCTGTGTTCTAGGCACTGGAATACAGCAATGAATAAACCAAAGAAAATTCTCCACTGGTCCTCATTGAGCACACAGACCATTGGAGCCTCTGCTTGTGACCCCCATGTCCATAATTACCAGCTGAGACTTCATGCTGCCATCCTCAGTTCTGGAGAATGTCATGTTTCAAGAAGGGGTTTTTGGCAACTTCAGATTAGAAGCACTTTCTTTCGGGAGCAAGGCTATTGTCCTCCAAATATGAACAGACTCTGACGTTGGTAGGTTGTAGGTGCTTGCTGCACATGCACTAAATGGAGTTGGAGTAGAAATATTTGGGTAAGATTTTACTCCAGAAGGTAAAGATGACCTGCTTGGTCCAGGGCTCGCTAGTCATGAACAATGAGAAGAACACAACCAGCTCCAAGAGTTCTCTATGAAGGGATTGGATTTTAGAGGCAGATAGGCCTGACGAGATGCAATCAGACTACAAAATAGTTGGTTTTAATTTAACACCTTGCTTCCAACAGGTTTTGTTGCCTCTCTTGGCATTTTCTCAGTTCCAGGACACCCTTTCTTTTTTTTTTTTTTAAATTTATTTAGTTATTTTTCAAGTATAGTTTTTTTGTCTATTTCTCCCATCCCAGCCTCCCCCGCCCCTTGCTCCCCACCTCCCTCCCACTTCCATCCCCCTTAGTTCTCGTCCCTGTGTCCTTCCTATTTGTTCCTCCAAATCCCTCCCCCTTTTCCCCCTTAACTTCCCTTCCCTCTCCCCTCTGGTCACTGCCAGGACACCCTTTCAAGTTTTAGAAGCAGTAACATGCAGATGTCTTTTTAAGGCCACTTGGTTGAGACAGGGCCCTGCCTTGAGAAACAGAACAAAGCCAGAAGGCTGGGGAGAGGGGCGTCTTGGAGTTTCGTAATCTGTGGTATAACAAAGCTATCGAAGGACCCTCTTCCCCTTTACCCAACACACTCACCCACCAGCTATCAAGCCCACAGAAAACTAATGAAAGAGAGGGCCCCAGAATTGAGATACCAATGTTTCCAACAGCTCATTCTGGTAGCAGAGTTGATGGTTCCTGGTCTGACTTGGCCACTGGCCCAGCTGGCCAAGTCACTGTCCTTCCTTGGGCTTCAGTTTTTGCATGACTAATGCGTTAGGAGGTTGGACTGCATGGTTTTAAATGTTCTTTTGGCTTTTTGTGAAAAAGAGCAGGGGCTCTTGTATTAAATGCATCTGGTTTTAAAATGAAGAAAGTTTGAGCGGTGGAGTCCATGTGGTAGAAGGAGCTGCATGTGTTGTAGGGCCAGACATGCCAGTCCTGGCTCTGCCCTTGATTAGCTATCTGACTTTGGGCAAGTTAGTTACCCTCCTGGAGGCTGGGTTTCTGATGTGGAAATAGTGATGTGCCCTTTTTACTGGGTGGTTGGGGGAGGTGTGTATCATGAGATATCAGAGAGAAAGCAGGCACCCTGGGGCTGGGCACAGAGAAAGCCTGTAGTCAGTGTGGGTGATGACAGTGGTGTTAGGTAATGCTGACCACTTTGAAAGGAGCTCATGAAGCTGGGTGGGTAGGCACAGGGTTTGAGAAGCTGCTCTGAGCAGGGTACTCTGAGGAAGAAATATATATGTAGAGATGTAAAATTCCATCCAAAGATTTCTTGTTCATTTTGGAATGGGGTCACAGGAACAACCTAATGACCCCAAACTGTCATGAGTGTCTTTATCCCCACAGGGACAGGCTAGTTCAGGGCTGCTGGTTAGGGCTGAGCTTGACCTGCCTTACCATCGGGGGGCTCCAAGGTTTCATGCAGCCCATGTAGAGGAATCCTGTGAATCCTGGGACTCTGGGAAAGACCCCAGGCTCCTAGCCCAATTCTGGTTTGCCTAGTGTATGGCCTAGGCCTTGGCTCCAGGAGAACGTGCTCTCTCCTTTTCCAGTGCGTCGGTCCAAGGCAGCTGATGAGGAAAGAAGCCGCCGAGCCCAGCGGGCCCGAGACGAGTACCGGCGTCTTTCACTCCGTGCCATCCAGAAGGGCACTGTTGCTGGCCTCAGCTTCATGTTCCAAGATCTTGGCCAGAACCATGAGCAGGAGGCCAGACTCTACCACCACTTCCCAGGCCCAGGTCCACCACTACCCCTCTCAATGCCTGTCAGGTGGGTCTGGTGGGGCTGGGGGGCTCTGCATGGGGAGGCCTGGCTAGGGACAGGGTCTTGGATGGGGGCACAGGGAACTGGGTACCCAGTCCTGCTTCTGCCTCTAACTTGCTATGAAATTTGGGGCTAGTCATTTCCTCTCTATGAAATGGGGGAGATGGGGGGCTGGAGATTTTGAATAACTCTGGAGTTCTGGGATTCTTAACCTTTTTGGGGTCTCAGATTCTTTTGAGAATCTAAAGGAAGCTCTGTACCTTCTTCCCTCCAAGATGTGCATATACAAATACCACAAAATGTTTGCATATAATTTAAAGCTCTTAAAGGTCCACAGATCTCAGGTTAAGAACTTGAAATGTTAGACTTCAAGTAGATTAAATATGGCCCGGTGGCCTGGGAACCTGTAACCACAGGCAGTGCTGGTGCATCCTGGGTTCTGATAGTAGATGGCAGATGAGCGTGGTAGAATGCAGGAGGCTCACACATACTGGCATCACTGGAGGGGTCTGGCAAGGGCACTTACGTGACTGCTCATCATTGCCAGGACCAGGGGTGAAGTGGTTGCCTGGAGCTTCTCCACTGTCTGCCCGTACCCACCTGAGGCCAGCCCTACGATCTGTGTCCCCATCTGTGTCGAGCAACTACCTCCCCCAGTGACATCTCGGAGGCTGGGTGGTGGTGAGTGCCTGCTGGCTTCCTGAGCCACGGTTAGTCTGCAGAAGACTCTTTTCATCCCCGGATGATGGAGGGCCATTTGAGTTTCGCTTTAATCAGGATTTAGAATTATTTGTAGCCCCCCTTGTCCTTCTCCCTGCCGTCTAGGGAGAGCTGATCATGTCTGAATTTCTTCCTTCCTTTCCTTCTTTCTTCTTTTCCCCCCTTGTCACTGTGACTTACAAACCAGAAAGTTTAAAAATATATATGAAAAAATGACCAACACATCCTTGGCGCCCATCTACTCAGTGTCCTCCTTCCCTAAGGGAACTGCTGTTCTTCAGGGACCTGCCTAGTCCCTTTTTGTGACTGCCAGCATGAAAAGTTGTGTCTCACTCTTTTTTTGCATAAAGTCTGCATGTTCTACAGACTTCTACATCATAAATTTTCCCCCATTCATATTTTAGAGGTCTTTTTGTACCAATTCTTAACTATTAGTTTTTATTCAGTTTTCTTTTTATAGCGGCATAGTATTCTGCTGCAAGGATGTGCTATAATTCACTTATCAAAAATTCGTTAATGAAGAACTTCCGCCAAGATGGAAGCATAGGTGGAGACACCATGCTTTCTCACACAACCAAGTTTAGAGACAACAAAATATTAGCAATAGAAAACATAGTCAGAATACAGAAAATTGAACTATTCAGAAGTCTGATAACAATGAATTCTTCAGCCTGACCGGTAAGAGGGGCGAAGCCAGCAGCTGGTGGAGCAGAATTGCATAGGAAAACTCGGTCAGACAGACACAGGCGCGGGGATCCCAGGCGTGGGGTTGCAAAGAGCGGACCCAGTGAGCAACCCAGTGAGCGGATCCAGCAAGGGTGAAGGGCTGCAGGTTGACTGTGGTGGCACATTCCTGCGCAGATAGACTGGCGAGGGAGTGGGCAGTGAGATGGGACCAACCGGGTCTCAGCGGCAAGAGGCAGCAGAGGGGGCCACCATTTTCCGGCTCTGACCCCGCCCCCACATACAGCATCACAACCCAGCAACCCCACCCTGAAGGCCCTGCCCCATCCCTAAGGCTCCACTCCTCATACTTAACTGGCACAAACAGACCAAAAATGGCTCAAGAAGATCTCAAAGCCCCAGAGCCCATAACTCTAAGCAATGAAGAAACAGCAAAACTTTGAGATGCACAGTTCAAAACACTGGTGATCAGGATGCTCACAGAACTGGTTGATTTTAGTCACAAATTAGAGGAACATATGAAGGCGAAACTAATTGAAATGAAGGGAATTGCACAGGAAACCAATAGCGATGAAAAGGAAACTGGGACTCAAATCAATGGAGTGGATCAGAAGAAAGCAAATAATGGCCAAATAGAAAAGAGTCAAGAAGCAAGAATTCAAAAAAATGAGGAGAGGCTTAGGAACCTCCAGGACATCTTTAAACACTCCAACATCCGAATTATAGGGGTACCAGAAGGGGGAAAGGCACAGCCACCAGTGGAAAACTTATTTGAACAAATAATAAAGGAGAATTTCCCCAATCTGGCAAAGGAAATAGACTTCCAGGAAATCCAGGAATCTCAGAGAGTCCCAAAGAAGTTGGATCCAAGAAGGAACACACCAAGGCACATCATCATTACATTAGCCAAGATTAAAATGAAGGAGAGAATCCTAGAAGCAGCAAGAGCTAAGGGGACAGTCACCTACAAAGGAGTTCCCATCAGACTGTCAGCTGATTTCTCAAAAGAGACCTTACAGGCAAGAAGGGGCTGGAAAGAGGTATTCCAAGTCATGAAATCCAAAGACCTACAATGAAGATTGCTCTATCCAGCAAAACTTTCATTTAGAATGGAAGGACAGATAAAGTGCTTCTCAGATAAGATCAAATTCAAGGAGTTCATCATCACCAAGCCCTTATTATATGAAATGTTAAAGGGACTTACCTAAGAAAAAGAAGATAAAAAAGATGAACAGTGAAAGGACATCAAACTCACAGTTATTAACAACCACACCTAAAACAAAAGCAAACTAAAAGGACAGCTAGATAAGGAGCAGAACCATAGAAATGAAGATCTCATGTAGGGTTAGCAATAGGGGAGTGGGAGGAGAAGTGGGGAGAAGGTACAGAAAATAAGTAGCATAGACGGTACGTAGAAAATAGATAGGGAGAGGGCAAGAATAGTATGGGGAAATATAGAATCTAAAGAACTTGAGACACATGGTCATAAACTCAAGGCGGGGAATGGTAGGGGTGGGGGGTGCAGGGTGGAGGGGAATGAAGGGGGGGAATAGAACAACTGTAATGGCATAATCAATAAAATAAAAATTAAAAAAAAATTTGTTAATGAAGCTGGTGTTGTTTGAAATCTTTGGTTTTTACCAACAATGCCTTTGGTGAATAACCTTGTAGATGTTAACTTTATACACATAGAACTATTACCTGTGCAGATTCCCCCAGGTGGGATCGCTGGGTTAAGGGCTGTGTGCATTTACACCACTGATAGTTATCTCATCTTGCTCTTCACAGGGGTTGTGCCAATGAACACTCATCCCTCAGCCTTTCAACAGTGTGTTGTCAAACTTCTGTGTAAGAACTATATCTCAGTGATCTTTTAAAATTGCATTTGTACTTGTGAGGGGGATTCAGTATTTTGTATACGTTTAAGGACGATTGGTATTTCCATATCTGTGTATTCTTTCTTCTACCTGTTTTTTTTCCATTGTGCCATTGTTCTTTTCTTCATCCCCCACATCTAAGAACTCTTTAAATATTAGGGAAGAGAATCCTTTTGTTTGTGATAAATACTTTTTTTTCTATCTATCATTTGTCTTTTGAATTTTGCAGTGATGTTTTCTGTCATGCCGAAATCCTTGATTTTTATGAGGTCAGATTTTCTTTTATGTTTTCTTGTTTTGGAGGCATAGTTAGAAAAGTCTTCTTGGTATGCCCCCAGGAAAATGATAATCCATCATTTTAAAGGGACCAGGTGATCTGTCCTTCGGGCCCACATGATGGAGCTGCCTGGTTGGTGGTACAGCCTGGCTCCAGGCTGGCTGTGGCTAGCTGCCAGTAGGGGAGCAGTGACCACCACAGTGAGCCATCAAGGGGGCCAGGATCCACAGAGATGGAACGGAGGACCCCGGCACCCCAGAGGCCATGCATCATCCTCCCTCCTGTGGCTGCCCCATGGTGTAGGACCCTGTGGCCTCATTGCCCCCAGCTGTGCAGTACTGGCACTGGCCAGCCCACCTTCATCTGACTGTGCTGAGGGACAGCCACGCATTGTATCTGGGAGAGAGTTCCAGGTGCAAGGGCAAAGCTTCTGGCCAGGTGGCTTCTTGGAAAACCTTCGTAGCATTTATATGCTGGTGAATCAGATTCTTTGCTTAAAAACACAGGGATAAGAGTGAGAATGTGTGTGTGTGTGTGTGTGTGTGTGTGTGTGTGTGTGTATTTGCTGGTATTTATAGAAGACAACCTCCTCTTGCCTTCTAAGGAAAATGAGTCCTAGGAACCAGAGCAGTTTTGCCATTGAGCAGTAAGGAAGAAGCTGAGTAGGGTTGTAAGTGTGCTGCTTGATAAAAAGGAGAGACTTCTGGGGTTGCTGAGGGGGGGAAACCCCAAAGTGTGGATCAGTGGGAGCAACACTCAAAATGGGGGACGAAAAAGAGCCTAGGGAAGCAGCAGTGGGAAAGGTGTTTAGAGTACAAACTCCACTGCTGATTGCATTATGCCAATGCAATGGAACCTCATCTGCTATCTTTCTTATAACAACTTCCCTAAAGTCACACTGTTCACCACTGTGTATGTGTGTGTGCATGGATTCATTTTAGGGCAAATGCAAATATAAACTCATTCTGGGGTTTGCAAGGATGTGCCAAACTCAGCATCAAAGTGCTGGTGCAGGGCAAATTAGAGTATGTGAGAGGACAGCTCATTTTATAAAAACGATGACAACAGTGGTAAATTATAAATGCCATGACCAGTAAGTAGATAGCAATGAAAAAGTGAGAATTTATCAGGTTCTGTCCCTCAGTTGGAAAGGTGAAAAGCTGTGTTTGTTCAAGCTAGGCCAAAGGCCTGCCCTTCATATGCTGTGTTTTCTTTCCATAGATCAGTGCAGTATGATCTTGCTTCATATTAACTCAACCAATAGCTGGTGTGTGCCTGTTACGTGCTGTGTGTTGCTGAACTCTAACGGTGCTTCCTGTCAGTGTGGCTCCAATATAACAGGGCTCTTATGTGGCACAGTCTCTGTGTGCATCCAAGAACCACAGTTCAGACCCCAGAACAATTAAAATATTGGCTTATTTGTGAGCAAATGTCAAAAATATGTCCTTACTCATAAATTCTTCAAGTGCCTGTATAGTCCTCACTCTCAGTACCTTCAGCCCCTCGCCAGATCCCCTGTGAAATCTACCAAAAGTCAGCCAGTGCAGTGCTCTGTTCCCCCTCCTTTATCTGTCCTTATCCTTTTAAATTTTTGGCAGTGAATCTCAGCCACACCCCCAGCAAATCAAGGATTTCCAGTTTCTCTCTGCTCACTGTCCTGATTTCATCTCACAAAAGCACAGAAGGGAGCAGCTGGCAAAGGCAGGTGTCCCCTGTGGAAGGCTGGGGAAGGGATCACACTGAGGAGCAAACCAGAATTTTCTGTAGTGGGGCGTGGGTGGGGGATGGAGCACACTCACATGCTAATAGGTTTGCTCCTGTTACACTGGGATCCTTCCTCCTGGATGCTCATGTTTATACCCTGGCCATCCCAGAGGGAAAATACGCCTTTTCTTTCCCTCAGACATCCCCTTCTGTTTTCTTTTCTGCTCCCACCTGTGTGACTTTTTTCAAAGCAAGTGATAACAATTTTCTTTGGGGAAAAATAAAAACAGCTGGTACATTATAATCTGCAAAGTGCTCTCAAGTACCTGGACTTATTTAATCCTCTCCACAGGTGGCTTGAGTGTGGCCTCCCTCCCTCCTTTCCCCTTTCTCCCCCTCCCTCTCACTCCTTCTCTTCTCCCCTCTCCCCCTCCCTTCCTGACTCTCCCACACTCCTCTCTCTTCTCAGCAGGACTTGGGAGCGCCCATTGCGACCTGTCTCCAGAGAAGTCATAGTCCGCTGGTTTAAGGAGGAGCAGCTGCCTCGCCAAGCTGGCTTCGAGAGGAACACCAAATCCATCGCTCCCTGGTTCCATGGTAGGACAGCTGTCTGTGCCTCAGGGCAGACACCTTTCACATCTCCACCTCTTCTTGAGACTGGGAAAGAGATGCGGAAGGACTGTTATAATCAGGGGAGTAAAGGACTTTCAACTGCTAATTTCATTCTGCCCCACAAAAACGGGAAAATCTCCCAGGGTTAAGGATCAGCTCTCCTGGCTTACCTGGGTGAGACTGGAGTGGACAGAAGTCCTGTGCTGTCATTTACTTGTGCAGTGAGGGTGCTGAGTTCAAGGCACAAGGTCTGATTTCCCCAGGGCATGTGCTGAAATACAAAGCAACCTTTTCCATTGCCCTAGGAGGCCAAGGCATAACACCTCTGTGCAGGAGCCTCGGAGAGTGGAAGCACCAGGGATACTGAATGTGCACTCCCTCTTTCTGCTGGGAAGGAATGAATATGACTGCTGCCCACTGCCCTCACCTCACAGCGTCCTTGGCCATCAAAGGCCCCTCAGGGGTGTCTTCTCTGTACTTACTAGGGCAATGAAATCTCAGTGGACCACAAGTTCCTGGTGGGCCGGGTACAAATCTTGTTGTTTGAGCCTGCGTCCTCAGGTTCTGGCCATGGCCTGGCATATAGCAAATACTGGTTGATTAAATGACAGAGTGTCTGCACGAAGAGGTCAGAGGTAGCTAAACATAGAACCTTAGAGCTGGGAGGTTCCTGGAAGTATTTTGTTGCTTCATTTTTACATATAAGAAAACAGGGCTGGAGAGGGGAAGAAGTTTCTGTAAGATCACAAGAAGACTTGTAAGGTCGAGTTCAAGAATGTATCTCATGGCTCATGACCCCAGTCCAGTGATCTGAACATACAGGGGGCTCAATCAGGGAAGCAGGTTTGTAATTCCAGCAGAGACTTGCTGCAGAGAAATAGGAAGGGCTGCTGGTCACCACACCCTCTGTATCAGTTCGTGAGTGCTGTATAACAAATCACCTCCACATTGCCTGGTATTTCCTCTGCATTTGTCTCACGTCCTGGCCAGCTTCCAGGTGTTATCAGTTCCATCCACATTAAGAGATAAACCCAGTGTCATGGTAGGCACTGGAGTCTCTGGGATCTTGAGGGCTGTTAGGGAGCCTTCACAGATAAGCTCTGGACATGGCTCTAGCTCCGAGAAAGGCAGCTGGAATGATTAGAAGAAATCATGCAGCGGGGAGCAAAGCCACGTGCACCTTCATTCTCACTTCCGGGAGCCAAAAGAGTTTGTGAACTATGAAGTGCAGACTGCAGCCATACTCTACAGATGAGATGATTGAGACATAGCACTATTAAGGGATTGCCCAAGGACACAAAGGTCACAGAGTCACCACCCAGTCCAGGTTGTAAGACTGTCCTTATTGGTTTCTCTTTCATTCTGGCTCCTGTACAAATCATCTTCCACAGACCACCCTGAGAATCTTTTAGATATAAGTCAGATCCTGTCACTGCCTGCTCAGTACCCACTACTTTCCTTTATACTTGCAATGAATTTCAGACTCCATGCTGGGGTCCACAAGGTCCCAGATGATGGGCCTGGCTTCCAGCTTCATGCCATACTCGTTTCCTTGCTTTCATAGCCTTGGCTTTTTTCTGTTCCTCAAACAAACAAGCTGTTCTCAAGCCCTTTGCACTTGCCATTGCTCTTTCTCTAGCTTTTTGCATGGCTAATACATTCCCATTTTTCATCTGAAATATCCCCTTCTCAGAGAGGCCTTTCCTGAAAACTTTATCTAAAACAGCCTTCACCTGTTTCTCTCAATTCACTGTATTTATTTCTCATCCAGTTTTTATTTATCTTATTTGCTTAATGCCTATTCTCCTACCTGATTGTAAGCCTATGAAACTAAGGCCCTTATCCATTTCACTAATGCCTGCCACAGTAAGTATCCATGGGAAGAATGGATGAAGGCAGAAATGATGTGTCAGAGGTGAGACTAGATCCCAGTCTTTCTAATTCCTAAGAACAGCTCTTGCTCCTCTGCAGTGGGCCCTTGTGGGTGTGTGCAATCCCTCAGGGCCCAGTGAGTGAGGCTGAGCTGGGAATAGTAAAAAAACCCAGAGCCACACGTGAGGTTAGGCTAGCCTTCTTGGTTGGCCGTGTGCTCACTGGGGCCAGGGCCCTATGCCTTAGGCATCTCTGTATTCAACCCTCACCTCTGCTTTCCATCTGCCCAGAAACCAGACCGAAGCAAAGTCACCATTTTTCTATGTTCCCACTGTTGCAGAGCTCTCCAACTCAATTAATAGCATCTCCACTGCATCGGTCAGATTATGCTTGGCTATGCCATCATGAAAAATGATCCCAAAGTCTGAGTGACTTCCACCAACCAAGGCATGTCCAACAAATGTTACATGCCCATCGGGTTGTGGAACTTGATGTAGGCCTCAGACTGAAGTTGCTGCTTCTCTTGAAACTCCAGTGGTCTCATGACGGAGGGAAAAGAGAGGCATGGCAAGCCACATACTGGCTCCTGAAGCTTCTGTGTGGAATTGTCACACACCATTGTTGCTCATGCTTCTTTGGCCAGAGCCAGCTTGACCTCTGTGATGTAGATGAACAGTTTTGGATGATAGTACAGCCTATTATAACCACCGCCCACTTTTAGGCTTCTTTTTACTCTCTGGCCTCCACTCATCCAACAGGAGATAGAGGGGCTTTCTATTGCTCAGAAAGAAGACAAATCAACTTTCCTGGGTGACTTAACTGTGTGTCCCTGGAGCTTGTCCCAGGGATTCGCTACATCTCACCTCTGTCCCAATTTTGTGTCCCTGTAGCTGCTGGGAGAGCTTCTGTTTGAGTTACTGCTTTCTTTTCATCCATGTATTATTATAACCATGGAAACATGACACCAGCATCTTAGGCACCACATAATGCCACTCAAATTTTTGTGGGACGGAGGTTTACAGGGCATTGGTTGCTCTGTGGATTGAAGCAGATAATGGAGAATGGAAGATGGAGGTGGAGATGCTCAAATTTATCTTTAGTTTTATTTTCTATCCTGATTAAAAAACAAAACATGAGTTTTATATTGTCCCAGAACAAACAGAACCATGATTTCAGTCTTGCAATTTATGTAACTGATTTCATGTTCTTTTGACATTCTACCATAAAGCATGCAGGAAAGTTGCTAATATGTGGCCTGGAGCTATTTAGTGACAAAGTTTTCATTGTTCTGTAACAGAATGAAAGAAAAAGGCTCACATATGGAGGGTGGCCAACTCCCTCTGCTTGGAAAGGACTATGTCATATTCCAAGATAATATTCTTTCCTCAGTTTTAGTGTCAAAATGTCCTATCTTTTATGACTTGATGGTGATAGTAAACAGTAGTTCTTTTTATATATTGCCTTTGCTCAGAAGCAAAAAGGTAATAGCTCCATGTTGGTTTCCCAACTCTTTAGAGTAACTTTACTTATACCGAAAATCCCAATGTCTGGAGCTGCTGTACAGTTCAACTTTTTTCCTAGTGTAGAAATTTCCTGATAGTGTTCCTGGCAGGACTCCTGTACTGATCCTATGGAGACAAAGCCCACTGTCCCCCAGGCAGCCTAACACCGGTCCTGCTGTTAGGGAGCCTTTGCTGCAGGCTCTGCTCTCAACTGCTGCTGGCAGAGCATCTTGGCTGGCGTGGCTCTGCCCCATGTGTCTTTCATGCTCCTCCTGGGACCAGCAGGGTAGGCCAGACACACTCTTCTCAGGGGGCAGACAAGTGGCTGCAGGCTAGATCTTGCAGTCTAGTCTTTGAACCAGCACACCATCACTTTCACCTCGTGTCGTTGGTCATAGTATGTCTCAGAGTTGAAGGTTGGGAAAATGTATTTTGCTCCTTTTGTGTGAGGAACTGCAAAACCATGTCAAAGGGTGTGAAGACAGAGTGGAGGAGAATTTGAACAATAATATAATCTATCGTAATCCTAATATAAACTGATTTCCCCTCTAGGTATAATGTTCCCAGTTAATTTAGTTGGATTTTAGTTGTAGGTAAAAATGACTACTGTGACTTCCATTTCCATCTCTTCCCTCAAACTCATTTGCATGTGTTGTGGTGTAATGCAAAGAATAGTGTGGACAAGGGGTCTGATGATGCAGGCCCACTCCAGAATTGAGCAGCTCTGTGGCCTTGGGTGTGTCCTTTAAATTCCCATCTGTTAAATTGGGATTATAACTTTGACTTCACAGGATACTTATGAAGATCAAGACAATACATGTGCTTTGCCTGCCATGACGAGCCATGTCAGTGTGACTGCTGATATCTCCTCGAGTCGGAGGTCAACCACCAGAGGCCTCATGTTCTCTAGGGAATAGAGTTTGGGAAATGGGGTCTGAGCACAGAGTGGGTGCCAGGGGGGCGGGCTTCCTGCTGCTACCATGGGGTTCTTGATAGAGTCTCTTCTGTTAAAAAGAGACATAAATTGGTAAGGTCATTCCTCTTTTCTCCTTCCTCCATTGTTACATCCCAGGGCTTATAAGAGAGACTTTTAGTTATCTAAAAATACTCCTGAGAAAAGTGAGTGCATATAAGCTTGGCTTTGGGGAAAAGAAATCTATTTTTGTACTTCAACATGTATCCAATTTAGGAACATCCTCTGTGTGCATATTGGCTCAGTTGGAAACCATTTCTCTTCCTGAGTTTTACTTGTAGAAAACAGTCACGATGACATCCATGGTTTATTGTCTTGGCAACAACCCTCTCGCTGTCTTGAGGCTCGCCCTTAGGGCTCAGCAGGGAATGGAGCTATGCAGTGGGTGATGTAGTTGGTCTTGGAAAACTATTCCAGCAGGACCCTGCTCAGGGGCTGGGAGTGGATCTCAAGGATGGCCTCACCTGCACTCTGGTGGGGTGTTATTGTTGAGATTTTCCTGATGACCATGAGGCAGGAACTTCACTGGGAAGGAGGCACTTCCTACTCACATAGACAGTGTGGTCTGCAGAGAGCTCAGTGGTTGGGGTGACTTACCATGCTCCCAAGTGGCATGGGCACTGCTTCCTACCTTCCCA